TACAAATGTTGAAAGGTATCTGATAACATCAGGATTGATTGATTGAGACACTATCACATTGTTAATAAATATTTGAAATCATAATCAAACACAGTTTCTTCATGTGACATTTAAAGAACTAAAGGACACAAGTACAGGTAGAGCTAGACCAGGTAGAGCTAGACCAGAACCAGAACCAGGACCAGGACCAGGACAATGACCAGGAACAGAACTAGAGGTAAGAAAAGGACCAGGTCCAGGTCCAGAGCCACACAAATAATAATGACCAGGTCGTAGTCCAGGTCTGGTCCACGTCTAGGACCAGGTCTAGGACCAGGACCGAGACCAGAAACAAGTCAAGGCCCCAAAGGTTTCATCTCATGAGACATTTGCTCCTTAACAGAATAAACTTAACTTTGAAAATGTGGGGTTATGGTAAGGCAGGTTTTTTTCAGGGAATTTCCACCGCAGGATCCTGTAGCTTCTCAGAACCTGAGAGACCCTGATTCTGGTTCTGATCCTGGTTCCTGCCATTGTTTAGTTGCTGGTCCTGGTCCTGGTATTAGTTGATACAGGTGTGGTCAACATAAAAGATCATGACCCAGGTTATTAAACTGGTCTGTCCTGGAGTCAGAACCAGATCCTAGACCTGGGGCCTGGCCCCAGATCTAAACTGTATGTGTGGAAGTACATATCAGCACAGTTTGGATCCTGGTTTCAGTGATGATGGCGATGGGGGGAGGAGTCATCCTCGTCCTCAGTGTGTGATGTCATCAATGACGCTCTTTGCTCATCCATCCTCCTGGACTGGACTCTCTGGATCAGACTGAAGAAATCCTCCTGACCCTCTGTAGCTGATCCCACCCGGTCATCCAGGTCAGGGAGGGAGCACCGCTGGTCCTCCATTCTGTCCGACTACAGCGGGGGGAGATTTTTAAAAATAATTTAATTTCATTAATCATCATAATAAATGTCATCAGCGGCAGCAGCTTCACCTTAAAAATGAAGGAAAACATCAAGTCAGTGAAAGAACTTTGTTAACGTTTGTTAATAGAAACTGACCACAACCTTGTCTGTGTGTACATAGAGTGTGTTTATCTGTTTTTATGCCTTTGTGCTGGCGACATCTAGTGGCTGGTGATGATGTTTTCAACAGAAGGTATTGGATACAAAAACAATATTTTGAATTTGGTGCAAACGTTCACTTGGACTCAAAGATGAACAGATATGGTTGTGGAAGTCGCTGTGATCTCACACATGATCATCATTAAATGTAATTTCTCAAGTCAAGAATGAGAGACTAATGGTGACTGGTCACATAATGACCACTTGTCTCCAGACCCTGATTTCTCATGTACCTCTCCTGTCCACCAGGTGTCCTCATGACCTTGGAAATCTTGATATTTTGTTAATGTTAAACTTATGTCCGTCCTGGCACAGGAAGTGACATCACATGTGACTCTTTGGTGTCTCTTTCCTTTTAAAAAATCTTATCTTGTGGCCAAACACTCAATGTAGAACCTTGTTAAGATCAATGAGACAAATTGCAATTTGTGAATATGATACTATACAAATACAAGTTGATCAATTGGTTGAAAGTCAACCGATGATTGATTCCTGACTTCATCTTGTGAACGTTTAGTTTTACATGTTGAAGAAAAACAACTTGAGTCTTCACAGATCAAACAGAATATTTTTCTACCTGGAAGTTAATTAACATGTAGTAGAGGTCCACAGTGGGCAGGGGGCACTGTTCGTGGCTGCAGGCTCCACACAGAGGAGCTGGCCCTGGATCAGGCAGGAGACTGACGCTGGCTCTCTGGTCATCCAGTCTCTGTCCCTGAGACTCCAGGATCAGGTTCAACAAGGCCTCTGGCTCCTCCTGCTGGCTGCTCCTGCACTAAAACAGAAAGGAAAGAGTACTGATGTGAGATGAGTTGTTCAGTGATGACGTCAGACATTTGAATAGAAGATGTCTTGACATCAGTCAGAGTCAGATTTACCTGAATTTGAGGAGCCCAGGTTCTGGTCCTGGAGGTCAGAGCAGAACTGGGACTCTGACTCCGAGGTCTGGAGGAACTAGACCTGCCCTCAAGGCCAGACCATGGTACAGGACTCACAAGACACCTGAAGGGTGAGGTGGAGCCTGGGGTACTGGAAGCAGAGGGAGGCTGAGGTACAGGACTCATGGTAGCGGGACTCTGACGTCTCAGTCTTCTGTCCAGATGTCCATTCTGATGAGAGGGTGAAGAACATTTAGGCATCGTCTCTCCAATCTTTCCGTTCTGATGAGTAGGAGAAGAAGTGGAGGGAGCAGGCTGTTTGTCAGCCATGGCGCGTGGGTTGTGCCAAAGTTGGTGATGTCATCAATGGAAAGAGCTACAGAGAAAAAGTCATCAACTCAGGATCTGATCAAAACACAAGACATTAACTGAAGCTCTCTGGACAATGTCTGGAAACCCCCCAGTGAGTGAGTGGACGCGTTGATGAGGTTTCTAACGTAAAGGACGTGAAACTGGAACAACACAAGTATCTCAGGATGAAGAAGAGGAGCCGTACATGTAGAAGACGTCAACTTGGGAAGACGAGGAGATTCCAGATTTTTTGGTGATAAGGGCCGACGCCGGTGTGGACGAGCTGTAAATGTGGGACCCACAGTGATTGGAGCAGCAAAAACAGCTACCACCCCCCATAGTACTACTTTGATTGCCAGATGTTATTTCTGCAGTTTTATATTGTTTGTATTTGTTATAACCTGATTGACACTGGATGGAATATCAACACTGGTTGCATATTATTATAGGCATTAACATGGTCAGAAAGGTTGATATATGGACAGGCACCTTATGACACCCCTGGGGTCCTCGGGGCGTGGTCGGGCTATTAACTAGAAGACTGTCCTACAGTTAGCTCACATGTAGCAACAGGCTGATGGTCATGAAAACATTTCTGTGTTACAGAATAAAACCTGAACCCCCCGTGATAACTCATGCACGACTGGAGGTGTATTTTGTCTCCGCGTGTGCAACATAAACAACAACACTGAAAAAGAAAAGGTGAATATGTAGGTTTAGATGAAGCGACGCCCCCAACCCATATTAATACTCATACTCCTCGAAGCACAGGCAGAGGTGGAGGGGTGGCAGCAATCTCTAAATCTGACTTATCTATCAACCCTCGACCGAAAGAAAGTTATAACTCCTTTAAAAATCTTATAATCAGCCTCATCCATCCAAGCTTGAAATCACATCAACCAATTCATCTAGTTATCATATATCGTCCTCCTGCCCCTTACTCAGAGTCTGTATCTGATTTCTCTGAAGTTCTATCAGAGCTAGTTCTTAGGACAGATAAAATAATTATAGTAGGTGATTTCAACATTCATGTAGTTGTTGCTAACAACAGCCTTAGTTCAGCTTTCAACTCAATAACAGACTCGACTGGTTTCACTCAACATGTGTCTGAATCACACTCACATCAAACCTTCATTTCTGAAATCCTAGAAAAAGCTGTTGCTAACCAGCTGTGTGACGACTCAGATAGAAATGGTTTGTTGGAAAACTTTCAGTCAGGATGTAGAATCCATMACAGCACAGAAACAGCTGTTAAAAGTCACTAATGACCTTTTCATGCCCTCAGATGATGGACTTGTCTCTGTCCTCGTCCTGTTGGATCTTAGTGCAGCGTTTGACACCATAGATCATAAGATCACAGAGACTAGAACAACATGAAGGGATCAGAGGAACTTCAGACTGGTTTAAATCATATTTATCAGATAGATTTCAATTTGTTAACATCAACAATGACCCCCCCCCCCCATGCACATGCAAGTAAGTCATGGAGTTCCACAAGGTTCTGTCCTTGGACCGATACTCTTCACCTTATATATGCTCCCTTAGGCAACATCATGAGAAAGCTCCACATACACTACCATTGTTACGCAGACGACATCCAGCTGTACATTTCTATGAAGCCTGATGAATCTAATCACTTAGTTCAACTTCAGGAACGTCTCAAGAACATCAAGGCCTGGATGAGCCACAACTTCTTACTTCTAATTCAGACTGAGGTCGTTGTCACTGACCCTAAACATCTCAGAGAATCACTGTCTGAACAGAGTCACCTTGGTGTCAGTTTGTCCTCCAGCTCCACTGTGAGGAACATTGAGTTATGTTCGACCAGAACATTTGACCAACACATAGAACAAGTCTCTAGGACAGCTTTCTTCCACCTGTGCAATATTAAGAACATTAGAAACATCCTGTCTCAGAAGGACGCTGAGAAACTCGTCCATTTGTTCTCTAGACTAGATTAACTCTTTATTATCAGGAAGTCACAGGAAGTCTGAGAAAAGTCTCCAGTTGGTCAAAGTGCTGCAGCAGAGTGCTGACAGGAAGTAGAAGGACAGATCTTATTACTCCTGTCTTCTCTACATCGGCTCCCTGTAAAATCCAGAATATCAAGATCCTGCTCCTCACATTTAAAACCTTAACAATCAAACCTTCATATGTCAAAGACCTGATAACACCATGTTATCCAAATAGATCAGTTCACTACCAAAACACAGGTCCTCCTGTGGTTCTAGAGTCAGTAAGAGGAGAACAGGAGGTAGAACCTTCAGCTACCAGGCTCCTCTCCTGTGGAACCAGTTCAAACTCTGGGTTCTAGAGTCTGTAAGAGTAGAGGGTTAATGAGGGAGTTTCTCCTCCACAGTCTCAAAGTGCTGCTCATTGTTCAACTGTTGGTTTCTCTATATGAAGAAGATCTGAAGATCAGGACCTTCTCTGTAAAGACCCTTGAGATCATGGATATTAGGATTTGGCGCTGTACAAATAAACTTGAATTTAATTAAATTGAATTGATCTTTCCACAGCAGAAGTTATATGTCATGTCCCACCTCCTGCTGCTCTACAGGCTCCACCTCTCACCTGAATGCTCCCCACATGTTCCTGTTGTTGTCAACAAGTCACAATCTGCTGCTGCTGCTGCTTCATAGGACAAATACTCACTACAGGAAATGTCTGGACGAATTTCTTAATACCACTTTTTACTCCATCTAGTGTCTGTCAGAAGAATCTATACACACAAAGTTAGCATGTAACACACAAACACCTAAAACCTCAGAATCTAAATAATTAATGAGACAAATCCTGAAAATGTTTCACAACAATTCTAAATCAATTTTCAATTACTTAGAAATGTTTTACCTAAAACCAGCAGCTAGATTGAAGGGATCGACATAGTGGTAAGTAGATAATGATGGAACTTCTGTGCACTATCCCTTTAAGGTGAGTCTGATGTGTGAGTGTGAACATGGAGAACGTTTCATCCTTCGCTCCCTGAGCGTCTGTTCTCTGTCACTCTGCTGAGTGGGTTCATCTCCTGAGAGAACAAGAGACTGAGAGTCACTATCAGCTCCAGTTGAAGAGTGAAGCTGAACTGAGATCAGTTCTTAACAACCAGAGTTTATCTCCAGTGTTAAGCAGAAACTTTAAAACATGAAGAACTCGGAACAGTTTGGTGGATTAGTTACAGCAGCAGCTCTTCTGGGTCAGGAAGCAGAGGATCATGGGTAATATCCAGAGTTCAGAGCTCAACACATTGATTCAAACACTTCATCAGACACAGAGACCAACAGAGCTCATCATGTGTGGTTGCAGGGGGCACTGTTGCTCAGTAACAGTTATATAGTGTTGATTTAAGTTCTGTCTTCAACTCTGAAATAAAACTCCACAAATCCAACAACTCAGCAAACAGCTGACATCACGAAGTTTGATCAAACGCAGTCTGTTACTTCACCTCAACATCCCAACGCTCGTCCAACGCTCGTCCAACGCTTGTCCAACACTCGTCCAACGCTCTCTCCACGTTTCCAGGACAAATTCTCCTCCTTCTTCTTTTTCAGGTCTGTGCTGTGTGTGAAGAGTCTCTGTCCACACACACACACAC